GAAGAAGATCAAGACAGCGAATCGACATATTTCTTAGGATTCAGGAGCAGTCGCGGTCTGCGTGTCGGCCCAGTCGTTGCGCCCATTCGACCCGATTAGCTCGTGGACCCTATCCCGGTACGATGCGATGCCATGCGATGCGATGCCATGCCATGTTCATCCACAACCGCCACCGGCGCAACACTCAGAAAACAACACAGACCAGCCCAGCCTAACGATATCTGCGACTCGTCTTCGATTGGTTGCTCGACTCCATCTTGTCAATCGCGGGCTTTGCTGCCGGTTGCTGGTTTGGGATACAAACGGGTACCACCGAGCTAGAAATGGAGCTGCGTGTGAGTGTGTGTGTTGCTGGATTCTACCGGGAGGATCGGCGCTTTCCCGCGCATGGTGGCTTCAACGCATTTGGCGGAGAGAAACGATAGAGCGGAGGCAGCATCAGTCAAATTCTGCGACCCTGGTGCGTCACACTCGACCTACTCTTCTTTTCGCATGGCTGGGTAGCTTTTGCCACGCCACTTCTGCCCCTCTTTCACCGTTCTTCCATGGCAGTCTCTGAGGCCATAAGGACTCATGAGTCGTGGAGCATCAGATGGAGTGAGCTAGTCGGAATGGATTGCGACTATGTGTGTGTGTGTGTGCGATTGCGCATATGCGCGCGCCTTCGAATACCGTCAAGGTGGACAAACGCACACACTCGCTTCCCCCTCCTCTCTTTTGAATCTTTCCCTCCCGTCACTCTTGAGCAGCTGGTGGTCGATGCTGCTCTGCTGAGCGCGGCAGTTTGGAAGGTAATAGTGGGAAGAGGCAATGCGACGGCAAAGGGTCTTCCAGGACAGTTGGCGTACCGTGCGCCCATTCTGGCTTTGCACTGCCGGTGGGTATCCAGTTTTTGTGCTTGAAGTCTGCGACAGGTTGCAGGGGGCATGTTCGGAGCCGTCGCATATGTGCTAAGCCCTGGGAGCTTTCGTATTGAGCTAGCTGTTCCCTCTCAAACTGTTACGCAATATCCGCCGATGCTCGACAGTCAATGGCGAGTCGCGATGGAATGGCCATGATATCTGTCAGTCAAGCTGAGCTGTGCGGCCCATTCCAAGACATTCCGTCGCAAGTTGAAGAAGGGTGGTGCGGTGCGACTAAAGAGCCGAGCATGAGAAAAGAGTGCGCGTGCGAAAGAGAAATGCGCCGAATCCAGTCAGATGTAATTGCGGCGCTCTCCGTCCAGTCGCCGCCCCGGGCCTCGAGCCTTCGACCTTGTGTCGGGAAAGGAGGTCGTCCCGTCTAGCGCAGCTTGCGTGGCGGGTCATCGAGGAGGGGTGAGAAGGAGAAGTTGTGCTCATCATGCAGAAATATTAATTGTCTGCGCACATCCCAGCCGGTCTCTGAAAGCCCCCCTTCGTTCTCCATCATGCAGCTGTAGAGGCTGACAAGAGACATGGCCCGACGTTCAACGAGCGACGAGTCGCAATTCTGTTCTTGATCAAAACAAACAAAGCAGATGCTTCAGGCGCATCGCGTTGCGCCAATGCGACTGGCCAGAAACGAATGCTCTGCAGGATGGATCTGCCCATGCCGGTCGCAAGTTGCTGGGCCAGGCGCGTACGTCCAATTCCGTCGCATTTGTCGCCAATTGCGCCAGGTTGAACAACTTGCGTTGTGGGAGGAGCCTTGCGCAGATTCGTGGTGCAAAGGCGCCGGGGTACCTCATGAGAAGGTTTTCATCGATAGTGAGTCGCAACGCTGACGATGCGGCGCCTTTGGAGGCGAGCTCCGCTACAGAGCGGGAACGTGTGACGAATGCACCACGTGACTTCGTGGTCAACTGGTGTTAAGTAGGGGCGCGTTAGGCCGATTATGGCCTACGGGATGGAACTTTCAAAATGTGGGCCAAATTGAAGTTTTTGACCTCCCAGTAGGTTTCATTATCGTCTTTTGTATATTCTGATAGATTTTGGTGAGGTTTTGTAATCATGTGCTGCTGATGCTGGGCGATGTGTCTCTTTGGACGTCTTCTGGAAGACGCGACAGCCAGACGAGGATCAAAATCACACTCCTCTTTGGGACTAGCGTTGCCCTTGATCAATTGCGAAAGCATGACGACAGGGGGTTTGTGATGCCGAAGATTCCCCGCCGTGCCTGCCGTCGGGTCTCTCAATCGACTTCCGGATTTCCGTTTCACACAGGAGCATTGTCTAGGTTTTGTATTCTTACGTCGCCCTACCGGTGCCCTCAAATTCTGGTGCACTTTATTGACTATGTAAAACAATTGAGATGGAGGTAAATGTACGAGAAAGAAACATGGGTTGCTGGCTTCCTCAAGCGAAATATTGGTGAGTCGTCGCAAAGCTGGTATGGTGGAAACACGACGAACGTGATCACCAGTCGCAATTTCCAATCCACCACATTCGCGCCTTCGATGCTGCCAATAATTACTTTATCCCTTTTCAAATGTCAACAGCAGGCACCTTTCGGGGAAAGCGTGCTAGCCTGAGGCTGAGATATCGATATCAAACGACAACTCCGCTGGCCCATGCTCAGAGCTGATTCGGGAAAGCCGTCGGCCACGACCACGAATCTTGCCAATCAGCCATGAATGAACGGTAAATGTATTGATTTTAATAGTAGCCGTGGAAAAGACTGAGGCAAGATCAGTCTGAATCACATGATGTCTTCCTCGAGGTTATTGATGATGTTCTTCTCCAGGCATGCTGATAACGCTTGCTAGATGAGATTACTTTGGAAAACTCGCGCCTGCTGACTGGGATACCTGGTCGAATAAAGAGAGCTCGTATGTCTCTACTAGCACTATACTCGATTCGCTCAGCATATGTCTTGCCCATGACTGTCTGTTTTTATCACGCACCGTCCATTCGCAGACACGTTCGTGGTGCTTTCTCTCTGCCCTCAGCTGTCGATCCTTGGAAGTTTCGTTACATAGTAGCAAGGCACATTAGAATCAGATTTGACCATGCTTTAGAGCCGTGGACCGACCCCCGGAGTAATCTTTAGAGACGATGAAGTTGCAGCAACTACGAAAGATTCTCACTCAAGTATCAGATACATCGGCAAGATATTCGTATCATTGCAAATGGCAAATGGGAGGACTGGCACTTCATCGGCACCATGTAATCCGAGCCGGTACGCAACGGGGGCAGCTAATTGAAACAAGCGATAGAGGCCAAGACCCATGCCTACGTAGAAGATGAATATTCACCTGCTGAGCTCTCCGCTGTTTGAATCGCAGAAGACAGCAAGCACATCTTTCCCTATATGGAAGCTCATATGGATCGCCGAGTCAGACTCGTCAACGACCCAACATTGACCGTAATAACCTGAAGCGCCATCCGTCTGTCAAGCAGGTCTTCTTGTCTTTCAGAAAATACTCTGTTCAAGCATGAGACTGAGTATACTAGGAGGCTACTTTGGGCCCCTGACAGAAGATATGGGCCAGCGACGGCTTTCAAATCTGTATGTGACTAGAGTCCGGTCGTACTTGCAGCTTCGTACAACCGCTTGATATGGATAGCAAGCCTCCAGAGGCTGGATTCACGACCTGGTATCGTATTGAGAGTCCTGAGGGAAAGGACAAAAGGAAGGTCCGAATGGTCCGATGCGAACCTGATAAGAGTTACCGGCGTGGGACTTTGACGTAGCGTGGAACTAAGCCAGATTACTGAGTAAAGAAAGGGAGCAGCAGGAACGTACTTAGGAAACCCGGACAGGACAAAGACCACCGTTGCTTGATACAACGCACTAGGAGTCGAAGGACCATGTTTGCCACGATCAGTGCCGTGGCGAGGGCTACTATCACAGCTCGGAGTACAATGGGTTTCGGTTTCGGGCGTGGCTTCTTCGGGTCAAGCTGGATGGTAGAGCTGAAAGACGGGAGGAGAAAACAACGACGGGCGAGGCTTGGCTCGTCAGGAACCGATCAACGACTTCGAGCCTCGAGGCGATACGTTTCGTATGCCCTTTTGTTCTGGGCCGCTATGGCGTTCTTTCCACGAGTCGCCCAACGTTCTAGAGGTCAACGTGGGCCGGCTGCCTTTGTGTTGTCGAGCGGGAGCCAAGCTAAGGGCAAACGTTCCGGGTTTCAGTAGCACAATGGACAAAGAACATCTTGTGAGAAGCCGTTGATAAAGGTACTGTCGAGCGAGAAAAGGGGGAGAGGTTATCGAAACGGGTGACGAACGGCGTCGTGTTGTAAAAGTTTGATCTGGGAGGATAGTCAGATAATATTTGGCGCAAACAATACGGATACACAGGTCGCATAACAACAACGACGGTTGTCTAGGACTGGGTAGTACTGTATGTGGTCTGGGTGAAACGATGACAGAAGACTCGTGCCTTGCTTTCGCAACGCATTGCTCAAGCATAGTTCCCCGGATTTGCTCATGCGCATCGTTGCGCAGAGACATGGGCTGGCCAACAAAACATGGAATCGGAGACAGGGTCATTGGAAGGAAGCACAACTGCACACACGAACTGACGAAGTGACGAGCGCAATTGGCCCCACGGCGATGATGCCAGGACCCACCCATCGACCGGCCAACAGTAGGGCTCCATCGCTCTCGGCCAATAAGGTGGCGCGCTGGTACCGCGTCTCCGGTGCGTACCTCGGATTTCTCACCTGTATTGACAAACACGGAAGTAAACAACCCAAAAAGTCCACTTCACATTCTGGTCGCTCCAACCTTATCAGGCCGTTTTTGGTCATAAGCCGCCCGCCGTGGCAGTTACCCATCGTGCAGCTTTTTGGCTGAGACCTTATTTTCTTCCCATCAAGAGTTGTTTCCAAACTCTCCATCCCGTCCCCATCCTTCCTCCACTCTGGTCGTTGTCGAGGTAGCCTGGGTCTGGTTCTTATCCTCTACCATCCCGCAGAGATAAACCGACCTTTCCCTTCTTTTATATTCCTACCCGTCGCAATCTCCCGTCCCTCGCCCATCCCTTCACTCCGACCAACCGTGCCCGAATCTGATCGGCAACAATTGGGGACCACGACTTTCCACAACACACCCAACCGAGCCACTGTGGTGTTTACATGCTATCCCACGCGCCATTATTCTCAGTCCCACGATAATCACATCAACATCCACTGCGCGCCTTCATAATTCTTCACTGCCCCACAAAGGTGCCCTCCCGAGCAGATTCAACAAACAGCACTAGCTATCTGCAAGAGCAGCAGTCGCGATGGACGCTAGAGTAAGTCACTATCCTCCCTCGTAACGACCACGCCCGAGTACCTACCCCCAAGGACCAAGCAAGGGCGACTTTCTCAAACTATCGACTGACTTGACTCAAACAGCCTCAGCGCCTCCGAGTCCACCCAGGTGGCAACGAAAACATCATCCCTTCGAAACACGAGGCTCTTCATCAGCGACACAAGTCTACCGGTAACCTGCAAGCCATGCCTCGCAACGGGGCTCTGCAGGTTGCTGCTAAGCGAACCGCATTCGGCGACGTGAGCAACACGGTGAAGAACCTGATCTCGCTTCCTAGCGACCAGATTCCGGGTAAGGGCAAGGCTGTAGATTTCGTCTACAACAAGGAGAACGCGGTCAATGGCAAAGATGGATTTTCCAAGGCCGCCCAGCGGGCCACAGCCCTCAGCAACAAGAATGGCCCTGTCACTGCGGAGTGGAAGCAGCCCAAGACTCAGAACAAGCAGGTTGCCAAGAGATCTTCCGCTGCTCAGCTTTACGAGACACGCCCCTCCAAGAGCAAGTTCGTTGCTCAGGACCCCATTGCTGAGTCGGCCTCCGGCAAGCAGCCTCGTCACCACAAGTCTCAGCCTCAGCTTAAGAAGGAGCCTGCTGCGCATGTCTTGCGACGGACACAAAGCAAGCTGACCACAGCCCCTACACACCCTGTCCCTGCTGTTGCAGCCTGGAAGCCTATGGACGATGTGACGGAAGCCACCTACGAGGATGCTGTCGAGCACATTGGCGATGAACAGTATCATGGCCCGTACCACAGACGCTCGCTGGACGTTACCGACAACGACCTTCCCGAAGACCTTGTATCATCGAATGCGGCCGTCGGCAAGCTTAGCTCCCTGGAGCCTCTTTCCGAATCGCTGGGTGTTCCGAACATGTCGGAGGCGGAGGAGTACTGGGACGAGGATGACGAAGAAGAGCTCTATGACGACCAGGGCTACACGACTGCCCACTCTTACCGTTCCCGCGGCGACCTCACCACGGGCGGCGCAACCACTATACTCGCTCCTAAGATTACCGACAAGGTCGAGCAAGAGTTGGAGACCGCCCGGGCCATCGTCGAGAGTACCCGTACCCAGGAGGAGGTTGACGACGAGATCTGGGATGTCTGCATGGTTGCAGAGTATGGAGATGACATCTTTGAGTACATGAGGGAGCTCGAGGTTTGTGTGCCCCGTCAGCCTTCATACAGGCAACTGCTAACCCGTATGCTTCCAGATGAGAATGTTGCCTGACCCTCACTACATGGACAACCAGGCCGAGATTCAATGGTCCATGCGCTCCGTCCTGATGGACTGGCTCGTTCAGGTCCACCACCGATTCAGCTTGCTGCCAGAGACGCTGTTCCTGACCGTCAACTACATTGATCGCTTCCTCTCGTACAAGGTTGTGTCGATCGGCAAGCTCCAGCTGGTTGGTGCAACTGCATTGCTTGTTGCCTCCAAGTACGAGGAGATCAACTGCCCGTCGCTGCAGGAGATCGTCTTCATGGTAGATAACGGCTACAAGGTTGACGAGATCCTCAAGGCTGAGCGTTTCATGCTTAGCATGTTGAGCTTCGAGCTTGGCTTCCCTGGTCCGATGAGCTTCCTGCGTCGCGTTAGCAAGGCGGATGATTACGACCTCGAGACGCGCACATTGGCCAAGTACTTCCTGGAGGTGACCATCATGGACGAGCGCTTCGTTGCGAGCCCTCCCAGCTTCCTTGCTGCGGCGGCGCACTGCTTGTCTCGCTTGATCCTGAAGAAGGGTGACTGGGTATGTCTGCTCCAACACTCCAACACTTTTGTTTTGCCAAGCCACTAACATTGAGAAAGACTCCTGCGCATGTCCACTATTCTGGATACACCTGGGGCCAGCTCAAGAACCTGGTTACCATGATCCTCGAGTGCTGCTACACCCCGCGCAAGCACCACCTTGCGGTCTTTGAGAAGTACTCTGATAAGCGATACAAGCGCGCTGCCGAGTACGTTGAGACGGAGATTGCGAAGGGCTTCACCCTGCCGGCGGCTCGCCAGTCCACAGGTCGCGCGGCGGCTTACGACTTTGCCGAGATGGACGGCAATGCTGGCCAACCCCATCATGGCAAAGCGATGGTCGAGCTCCAGAGCTAGTGGGACAATTGTGCTCGACCACCGATGACGCATCATGTGAGGGACTTTCCTGTGCGCCCACGGGGCACTTGGCTTGATGCAACGACCTTTTTCTTCTCCTAGCGACATTCGACGACGCAATTTTGGTTGCGACTGAGGCGGCTATTATAATACCACGATTGCGATCACGGCTGGACAAGAGGTCCGGCTTGAGACGCAACGACTGATGCACCGCCGGCAACTCTTTTTACACAATGTTTAGACCGCCCACGCGGTCTGTTGACGACACTGGACGACTTGACGATACCATGACTAGGTTCTTAGCCTTTCACTACTTTTCGGTTGGCCCTAGTCGATTTTGTTTTTCTTTACTACGCGGCCAGGTTATTTTGGCGTTGGAGGAAGGATCCTCTAGAGGGCAAGGCAAACAATCCTTGCAGACGATGGGCGTGGCTTCTCCAGGAGCAACATACCAGAACCGAAACCAGAACCGAAACCAAAAGCAAGTGCGATACGTGGAGGTGTGGCATAGATGAACAGGCACCAGCTATGATGACTGCCTGAGGGAGGGTTTAGGACAAGGCAATAACTTTGTGTATGACTTATAATTCTTTGGCAAAGGGGGTGGGATTTGCATTTTCTATGTACTGTTACAGTTCAGCTAGAGGATCAGCTGGAAGTGGCCACAATGGATGGCGGCGTCACGGTAGTTGGGTCAGTAAGAGGCAATGAATATCTTGACAGTACTTTTGGTTCCTTGACTGTTGGCTATATGCATCACACTTCCGTCGTAAGTTACAAGTTACCAGTGACTTACCTACTTACAAAACCATTCCAAGCGCGCATTGAAACTATCAACTTTGAAGGTACAGATACAGCTCCCTTCCCTGACTGACGGCTGCTTTGATTGGATAAGGTATCCGTACTTTGAGGAACCTTGGGTTAAGGAAGCTCGTCGAGCTGTCTGGCGGATGGAAGCTTGAGGTGCCCCACTCGCTTAGAAGCTGGTGGCTGGTTCTCCATGTGGCACTTGCACCATGGGGTAGCTCCGCAGTGCGCCAGGCACTTTATTGGCCGACAGCTCAATTGACGAGACCGCGGCCATGGTGCGAGGTCCCTTTTTCTCTCCAAGGCAGTGGATCAACTGCTGTGAGGCCACCTTGCTGTTGTCAGGTCGCCTCCCGAGTCCCGGTCAGCTTCCATCCAGTCTTCCGTTGCCTCTCTTTCCCATTGCTGAATCACCCACTTCACGCACACTTTTATTTCCCGCCCATCCAAACCTGACACCTCAGCGCAAAGACGCACGCGATCTGAGTTGGATTGGGTTTGCCCCAGCCCCCCCCCCCCCCCCCCCCCCCCTTCCATCTGTCTCCATCTTCCGTCTACCACCTCCCATCTCCCTCTTTACCTCCTACCTCCTTTCCCTTCCTCCCCCAGTCCAGTCAACCTTCCATTGCCTGCGATCGTTGAATTGGTCACGTCGCATCCAATTGCTTGTCCTCGTCGCCGCTACAATGGTTTACCTCAAGTCCTCGCTCCTGGCCCTTTTGGCCTTGCCCATCGCAGGCGTCTTCGCTGCCGAGAAGGAGGCCCCTGTACGTAATATCCACGACATCCAGAGCTCCCCTGACAGTCGTTCCTAACCATCACCAGGTCGATACCGACGCTGTTCCCCCGGCTCTCAAGGCTGACATCGAGACCACCTTCCCTGATGCCGATATCTTTGGTGTGAAGATCGTCAACGGTCACCCCACCAAGGCCTTGATCGAGTTCACCAACAATGAGGATGCGCCGATTCAGGTCGCCATGGTTGGCGGTACCCTGTCTTCCACTCAGGAGCTCCCCGAGGACTCCCTCCCCAGTGAAAGCATCATCCGCAACCTGACTGCGGCGCGCTACGATCTGACCATCGAGGCTGGCGACAAGAAGGCTGTTCCCTACTCCTTCGCTCTCGATGCCAACCCCCAGGATGTTCTCCTCCAGCTTATTGCTGTCGTGAGCAACTCCAAGGGCGACATCTTCCAGGTCCAGGCTTACAACTCCACCGCCGCCATCGTCGAGCCTCCCACCAGCATCTTCGATCCCCAGATGTGAGTTCTACAACCAATGCGCCGCCATTGAGGCATGACAACAACCGCTGACAGCTTCTGTAGCATCTTCCTCTACCTCTTCCTGTCTGGTGTCTTTGCTGGTACACTGTACTTCGTCTACAAGACCTGGATCGAGGCCCTGTTCCCCCAGGCTAAGAAGGCCAAGTCCTCCAAGAAGGCGCGCACTGTTAGTGTCACCGTGCCTCTGGCTGAGGCCGACACCACTGGCGTTGCCTCCTCGACTGGCAAGAGTTACGACGAGAGCTGGATCCCCGACCACCACATCAACCGCCCTGTCGCCAAGCGCGTCAAGAGCGGTGCCAGCGGCAAGCTCAAGAAGGGCGAGTAGGGACATAGCACCTCTACGAAGCGAGCCGCTTAAAGATGTGGATGTGCTGGATAAAACGGCACCCATGCGATCACAGATTGGCAACCCTGAAGAACCCAACAAGCTGAAAACGAGCTTAATAGGATGTTCACATTGAGTTGATGTTGGCGAAGCAAAAACAAAAGTACTGTACAATAGCTGCATACAAGGCAAGAAGCCCATGTTGGCGACTCCCGTAGGAAATACTGGAACTTTGTTATCGCCTTGAAGATGAGGTTTGAACAATTCGTGACCGACAATGCCTTGAATGTCTCCTGGTCGTTAACACTGGCCTAAACCCGACGTTTTATGGTCCAATGCGACAACAAGGGGACAATAGGCTGCTGAGAGCTTGGTGAGAGCCGTTGTACTTCCATTAGGCTTTGTGAGAGCGTTCGTCTATAAGCTTGCTGTCTCTCTAGTCTCAGCACATACATGTGACTCTCAATCACTTGAACAAGGAAAAGCAAGTCTACCTGGCGGTGATCCGACCTGAGACGCATCCAATTGAGGTTTCAGGAGCCTGATCTTACCTTGATACGGTCAGAACTCTGATTGATTGAGCCAGAGCAGGGACTGGAGTCTTTTTGTCCTTTCAACCAGTGGAAAATGCATAATTTGACCTGTATTCTTTTAATAAGTAAATGAAACGGCTTTAGAGAGTTTGGACCCTTTCCATATCATCTCATTAAATCCAGATGCATCTCCAAGGTTCTTGGTGCAAGAGCTTCTGAAGTTGGGTTCCTGGAAGGTACCTACCCCAGAAGCGGGTACCTACCTTTGGTGCTCAACGAACCTTAGGTGGTAGCTTCCCCATGCGCGCGAGAGTGACGCGCAAACGCGCTTTCCACCCACCAGGGTCGCTTCCGCGCTACGAGCATTGGACCTTAATTGCACATTTGGCACCGAGACGTTGTCCGCTCTCCTTCTCTCCTTCACACTTCACTCTCTCCAAGACTTTCTCTCCCCATACTCGCGAACCCCGTCTCTCTTCGACCATTGCGGGGAAGAATTGTACAATAATTCGAGGGGCTGTTTACGACCTTTGATTTCTTGCGTATTTTTTATCACATTTTTTTCCTCGCATATAACTTTCGTTCGACACACATACACACAATCTACAATGGCGCCAACTGTTGAGGAACCCGTGAAGCGCGGCCGCGGAAGACCCCCCAAAGCCGATGGCCAGAAGAAGACGCCCTACGTCCCCACGGGACGTCCTCGTGGACGCCCAAAAGGCAGTGGAGGCGTGAAGAAGGCTGTCGCACCCGCTGCCACGACCGGCACCAAGACACGCGGTAGACCCAAGAAGGCCGACGACGCGACCGCGGCTACCCCCAAGAAGTCTGCCACGCCCAAGAAAGCGACACCAAAATCTGCCGGCGCTGCTGGTCGCCGTGGCCGTCCTCGCAAGTCTGACGCTGCCACGCCCAAGGCTGAGTCTGCCAAGAAGGGCAAGGCTGCCAAAGAGGAGTCTCCCGCCGACTCCGACTCGGAGGACGGAGAGGAAGGTTAGCTCAAGTCCTTGTTCCTTCCGGCTCGCGTACGAGTATGAACGTCAGCTCACTAATACATGAAGCACAGGAAACTAAGGAAGACGCCGCGATGAAGTCGCCCTCCGACGTCGCGGACTCTGCCGAAGAGGTGCGTCCCTGGCTGCCATCGAGAATGATACGAGGAATATTCGGCTGACCGAGAAATCTTTATCCACAGTAATACAACGGACGAAAGGGGAAGACCTTTTGCTACATTTCGCACGGGATCTTGGGATTTTTCGTCTGGCGGACACTGGGAAAAACAAAATAGGGCGTTGGGGTATGGCTTCCAATTTGTTTAGTGGGCTTGGTGTCGATGACGGTCCTGGTCCTCTCCCGCCTGCAGACCGCGCGTCCGAGACTGACCGTTACTGAGATACCGTGCTTTTTGCTGAATACGAGACTATTTTGTCTCCACCCTTCTATGGTTGTTATTGTGATGGCGCAACCCTCTGCGTTTGGGCCGAGGTTGTGCTGCTCCGCGTTTTGCTTTTCCTCACTTGGCCCTCCCCTTTTCGCGCCACTGCGTATCGCATTTGTGGTCTAGCTGTGTTTATTCCTTTTTCCACTGGACGAATTCTTCTGAGAGGTGCTCCTTCAGCTTCACAAACTGGTTCTTGAAGTTGTCACCGCACCTCCAACAAACAAGATCTTTTTTCATGAGGTAGCCCTCGTGGCCAGGATGACGCCTGGGATCGTCCGGGGCCAGTGGGAAATCAGCGACGTTGACCAGAAAAGGGGTATTGAAGGAATTGTAGTGTTTGCGATGCTTCAAGCACACGGAATACATGTCTCGTGAAAGCACGTGGACGTGTAGATGGTTCATGCTCGGATGCGCATGTATGCCAGTAATGATCTCGGCGTGCCAATTTCGACCCTCGGGAAGCTCGGTGCCTGTCGGCTCTGCGCGTCCGTCGAGCACGGCTTCTCGCTCTGCCTCGGCTTTGCTTTCCTTTGCGAACCGCCGTTGTAGCTCTTTAGCTACGAGATCCTTCAGCTTTAAGGTCTCCTTTTGTACCGTAGCCAGGAACTCGGGGTCGTCGAAAGCTTCGAAGGGGTGGAGGAGGTTGTGCTTGGAGGATCGAGGGAGCAGCAGCGTGTGAACGCTGGCCTTTGGGTAGAGGTCGTTGATGGCGACGAAATCGTCATTGTGGTAGATCACTCGCGAGGCTGGAGAGGAGGATGGGTTTTCGATATATGCACCAAGGGCATCGCGGCTTCTATGAGGGGGCTTGTTGCGAGAAAAAGGTTTAGAGGGTTCTGGAATCGGTTCGGGCTTGCGCTTTCGTGTCATGAGCTCTGCGACTTGGGCGCGCGAAAATCAGAATGCATGCGATATTTTTGGGGACGTTTGTATAAGGTGGCTTACAGGCATTTCGCGGTTGTTGGGGTGTAGCGGCGGTTCCTTGGATCTCACCCTGGGTGATGGCGTCTTCGGGATCCGAGTCTGTGCCCGCCATGTCTGCCTTGCTGATGGGAAGAGCTGGGCGTGGGTGAGGCTTTGCTTGTCGCCCAGAGTGTGTATTCAATGAGCCATCCTTCACTTTAGGTCATAATGGTAACAAGGGCTCCGTAGCTTGAAAGCTGTGACTTGCGCCCTCGTTGCGACCAAGGGCTGTCTAGGCACGACGGTGATGATGAATGTGCATCAGGCAGATTGGAGATCCGGCTGGACCCTTCAAAGGAGTTTCGGTTCATCGCCCGTAATCGAGGTACCCACAGCGGGGGGGGGAGCTGCAGGAGGAGCCGTGCCCCTCCATCCAGTGTCAGCCGCCAGGACCCGACGTCAAGGTCGCTGAGTGGCCACTGCAAACCGCGTCTGTAACCGCTAACGGCAAGTGGCTTTCTGCAACTGGGCTCCAACAACCACCCAACCAGTGCTGGGGAATCCACGGGCAAATAAAATTTCCCGGTGCTTTCAGTGACATCGCAACGAGCTCATTCGACGACGCCCTATCCAGTTGATCTGGCTCACGATCAAATCCACCGCTTTCTCATATTCTCCGCCAACAGCATCTTCCATGGCCCAGAATTGCCCATAGACAACATCTAGATACGCCGCCAAACCATGGCACCGCCTAAGAAAGGCAAGGGGAAGGACAAGGCCGCCGCGCCAGCCCCGGCGGCGCAAGCAGCCGCATCGTCGTCCAAAGATGGCCCCAAAGGCAAGAAGACTGCCGGTTTATCGCTCATGGAGCAGGCCGCCGGCCCAGCTGCCAACAAGCCCACCGTCAAACAGATCATCGGCGGGTCGTCGTGGACCGGAAAGCTGCCGCAGAACCTCTTCAACGAGTACTGCCAGAAGCAGCAGTGGGAGAAGCCAGTCTACGACATGCGCAAGACGCCCGAGGGATATGCCTGCTTCATCATCCTCAGCGCGAAGGATCCCAAGACGAAGGAGCTCATGACCCTGGACTCGTTCAAGATTGCGCCGGATTTCAAGCATCTGCTCACCAGGCCAACTGCCCTGGAGGCCAGGCATGCAGCTGCCACGTATGCCCTCTTTAGGGTATGCAGCATGCAGAATAAGCACATGGTGCTGCCGCCTGACTACAAGTCCATGTGGAAGGATTTCCAGGAAATCAAGAAGCAGGACGTAAAGGACGGCAAGGCGTGGATGTACGACGCGGACCCGTTCAAGACACTCATGGAGAGGAAGGACACCAAGGCTGCGGCGGAGAAGAAGCGCAAGGAGGTGGAGGCGGCCAAGGAGAAGGCAAAGTCGATGCCCGGCGCATCTGGGCTGGCCGGCGCAAACGCTATGAAGGGCTGGGTGACGGCACCAAAGATTGAGATGGGCAAGCGCTCGCGAACCCAGGTCGAGGCGCTGATTCAAAAGTATGTTGTTTGGAACCCAAACAATATTCAAATACCAGCGGCGCAGAAGAAGGCGATTGTCGAGGAGCTCAGCAAGCTGGGCTTTCGACGAAGTCACGTTGAGGAAGCCACGGGGATCTGCAAGGATCGCGAGGAGACGCTTGAGTGGCTGTTGATCCACGTTCCCGAGGACGATTTGCCGCGATGGGCACTGCCGGAAAGCTATGCGGCGGGTATCTCGGTCGCATCCATGGACCTCAAAAAGGAGGCTGTTATCAAGCGTCTCTCGGAATCAGGATACGCCCTTGACCTGTGCGCCCGCGTTCTTGAGGAGGCCGGCGGCAGCGAAGGCCGGGCGGCCGAGCTCCTTCAGCTTCGCCTGTTGGGACAAGTATCGGGCGACGAGTCGCGGTCAACCGCGGAAGATCTTCTTCCCCCCGGTGTCTCGGCGGATGAGCTCTGGGACGACGAAGTTTCTGCGATGGAGTCTTCCTTTGGTGATCTGTTCAAGAAGACCTCAGGGGACATTATCCAAGTAAAGCTTGAAAAGGTCAAGAACGCAGGGAAGCCGGTAGAGGCGGCCGTTCAGGTTCGCAAGACGCCGAACTACCCTGCTCAGCTCAACTTTGCCGTCGTGGCTCCTCTTCCAGCACAGATTAAGCTGTCGATTATCAAGCAAACCATTGGGTATCTGGACGACTCTTACTGGGAGGAGCCTATGAAGGTCTTTGTTGCCATTGACTGGATCCAGCAAAATATCAACGACATCATTGAACGGCCAGGAAAACTGTCAGACATTTCAGCGGTAGCTTCAACGGCGTCCGAGGTACCCAACGAAGCCCGGTCGCAGAGAGCCTCGAACAAATCTCAGAGAGCTCCTAAGCCAATCTCGTGGACACCTGACGAACGCTCACGAGACGACTGGTTGAGAAGAACGGAGGATCCCGCGTGGGAGAAGATGATGTCGAAGCGTCAAAAGTTACCTGCGTGGCAGGTTCGTGACAAGATTGTTCAGACCGTCGAACATAATCACGTCACTATCATCAGTGGTGAGACTGGTTCCGGAAAGTCAACGCAGTCGATGCAGTTCATTCTGGATGACTTGTACAACAGAGGCCTGGGCAAGTGTGTCAACATGCTTGTGACGCAGCCCAGGAGAATCTCCGCGCTTGGTTTGGCCGACCGTGTCGCTGAGGAGCGATGTAGCAGAGTTGGTGACGAAATCGGTTACGCTATCCGTGGCGAGAATCGTAGAAGCAACAACACAAAGATCACATTCGTGACGACCGGTGTGCTACTGAGGAGGCTGCAGACTTCTGGTGGGAAGATTGAAGATGTCGCGGCGTCGCTTGCAGATGTCAGTCACATTGTCATCGATGAAGTCCACGAGCGCAGTCTGGATACAGACTTCCTTCTCACCATTGTCAGAGAGGTTATGAAGACGAGGAGGAACCTCCTGAAGTTGGTGCTCATGAGTGCCACACTCGATGCCGCATCCTTCAACTACTACTTCACCTCTCAAGGTCTGGATGTCGGCATGGTCGAGATTGCTGGAAGAACGTACCCCGTCGACGATTTCTACCTTGACGACATTATCAACATGACGGGTTTCAGGGGTGACATGATTGATGGAGACGGCGGACGAGGCGATGCTATGGGCAAGGTGATTCAGAAGCTGGGCCATCGCATCAACTACGACCTCCTAGCAGAGACCGTTCGGGAGATTGACGCGGATCTGTCTCATACGGGCAAGTCGGGCGGAATTCTCATCTTCTTACCCGGAGTGGCAGAGATCAACAGGGCATGTGGCGTTCTGCGGTCTTTCTCCTCGCTGCACGTTCTACCTCTACATGCCTCGTTGGAGACCAAAGAGCAAAAACGCGTCTTTACCAGTCCGCCACATGGCAAGAGAAAGATTGTGGTTGCCACCAACGTGGCGGAGACTTCAATCACGATTGATGACATCGTTGCCGTTATCGACAGCGGCAAGGTGAAGGAGACTACATACGACCCCGTGAACAACATGAGGAAGTTGGAGGAGAACTGGGCTTCTCGAGCGGCGTGCAAGCAACGGCGTGGTCGTGCCGGCAGAGTCCAAGCCGGCAAGTGCTACAAGCTGTACACCAAGAATCTCGAGCAACAGATGGCTGAACGGCCGGACCCGGAGATCAGAAGAGTGCCGCTAGAGCAGATGTGTCTGTCCGTACGAGCCATGGGTATGAGAAATGTGGCCGGGTTCCTCTCCCAGTCGCCTACGCCGCCCGATAGCACAGCAGTCGATGGCGCGATCAAGCTCTTGCGCAGAATGGGTGCGTTGGACGGAGACGAGATGACCGCACTGGGTCAGCAACTAGCCATGATTCCCGCCGATTTACGATGCGCCAAACTCATGGTGTACGGTGCCATCTTTGGCTGCTTGGACGACTCGGTCACCATTGCCGCCATTCTCAGCACCCGCAGTCCCTTCATGTCGCCTCCGGACAAGCGCGATCAGGCAAAGGACGCGCGCATGAAGTTCTCCAACGGGGACGGCGACCTGCTCACTGATCTCGAGGCTTTCAAGCAGTGGGACGAGATGCGCGGCGACGGGGTGGGACAACGGCAGCTTCGCAACTTTTGCGACGATAACTTCCTTTCGTGGCTTACGCTGAACGACATATCGGCGACGCGCATGCAGTACTATTCCGCCCTCGCGGAAATCGGTATCGTCGAGACGAGCAAATCCGCCGCTGGGCAGAGCCAGAGTAAATCCGGCGGCATGACTCTGTTACGTGCGATCACGGCTTCGGCGTTCAACCCGCAGATTGCGCGGATCCAGTACCCCGACAAGAAGTTCACCAGCACGGTTTCCGGTGCAAAGGAGTTGGATCCGGAGGCAAGGTTGATCAAGTACTTTGCTCAGGAGCAGGGCAGAGTGTTTGTACATCCCAGCAGTACGCTCTTTGGTAGTCAGGGGTTCACGGGTAACGCTTCGTTCATGTCGTACTTTACGATGATTTCCACCAGCAAGACATTCATTCGAGATCTTACACGTAAGTTTCTGTTCGTTTCGTTGGCAGTCAAGACTACCATGCTAACCCCTAACCAGCTTTCAACGCCTACACTTTGCTATTGTTCTCCGGTGCTATCAGTCTAGATACGCTGGGACGAGGACTGGTTGTCGACGAATGGGTACGCCTTCGGGGCTGGGCGCGATTGGGAGTCTTGGTTTCGAGACTTAGGGGCATGGTCGATGACGTGATTGCGATGAAGATTGAGAACCCTGGGCTGGATCTCACAAACAACGAGGTGATAAAGCTGGTTGCGAAGCTGATAGAGCTGGACGGACTAGACGCATGATAGAATGGGTGGTATATTTGTGGGTTACCTATGCTGGCGCAATATCGAGGCAAAAAAATTAGAGTGAAGCAACGCAACGCAACACACGTCATAAGCGTCCCACATATTTACTTCGAGTAAGGTATTCAAGCACAGCCGACGTGGATAGGATGTGAATGCATACAGTCGATCCGGCCGAAACAAGGCCGCGTACAATGGCTGGCCGCGTAGTGTCATTACTCGGGTTTTCCGTTCTATCGTAAGTGAACCCCGTCTTGAACTTCAAAACTCTTCATTTGCCGTGATGAGACAAGGTAGTTGTCTGGAATACGGTGGATTACGAATGTCTCGGGTTCGGTCTGGTCTGAAACTGGGAGATTTCTGCTGCAACCCCACTTCCAGGTGGTTCAATATAGGTGACGGGAGGTACTTAGTCATTCGACGGCTTTTGCCATCACGTACGTTTACATTTGGAGGCTCATGAGTCTCGTTTCAAGGGATACCGGTCTGTGAAATGGATTCCCCCCGAGTAAGATATGGCTGTCAACGGGCATCACACCCACAAGTGGGATGTGGATGAGGTACGGGTAGTGGAGTGTGTGGCTGCGTATGCCCCGGAATGGATAGGTGCATGGAGTTTCGCGACGATCGGCGGCCGGGGGCTGCGGGGCCGGGGGTGGGACGCGGGGTAGGTAGCTAGCTCGGCACGCGGGCCTGCAGGTCACAGGTGCAACGACCTCGAGGTGGTGGTGCCTGCCCCCCCAAATCTGCAACGGACTCTGTTCGTGAGTAAAAACCATAGCTCGTGCGTCGATCCCTTTCAACCAGGGCGCCCGTCCCTTACAGCCTCCGGACTTTCAACCTGCACAACGACCTCCGATTTAAAACCTTCCCCCGAGAATTTCTGTTCCGGATGGCCTCGACTTATTGAATGTACAACTAAATTCGTCGACCTTGTTTTCCCTTTTGTCGATTGTAACGCTCGTTGTGTCCCAGCTGAGCCGAAGCAATGAAGTCCACGACACCGCCCGCGAAATGGGCCTCCCTCGTCTCGATGCTGGCGCCGCGCGTGGTCCTGGCGGCGCTGGAGCCTCCGTTTATCGATCCGAATAGTCTCCCCGACACGCCGGTCTTTAGGGGATTTTGGGAGAGATACATAAAAGCACCAACAGAAAAAACTCATATCATTCCGCATCGCATATGGAATGTAGAGGGGAACATCACGACGTCGGGGCTCGAGGCCGTGGAGGTCGGCGTCGAAGCGGGACGGACGTTCCAACACGGCATCACTATCGGCCCTGGCGGGATGTTGACGCTGGAGTTTGAGGAAAACATTGCTGGACGGTTCGTTCCCGGGCCCTGTTCCCCGTAGAGCGCATCTACCTTGCTAATCAGTGGCTACTTGATAGTGTATGCTTCGATGTATCGTCCACCGGAAACGACCCCGAGATCTCCCTGGCGTATTCCGAGTCCTCATTGTATGCCGGACCGCAGCCGGACACCACGACCGAGAAGCTAGACCGAGACCTGCCGCTACACTTCGAGTTTGACGACAAGACCGGCACAGTCTGCGTGGGGAAGGACTTTATACGGGGTGGCTTCAAGTACCTCACTTTGACGATGCCGGAGTACCCTGTCCTCAAAGACGATCATTCCGTTGAAATACCGCGGCCCAAGGGGCAGGTAGTATTGGGAGAAGACGAGGAACAAGCGTCACTCGAAGGAGCCGTCGACAGAGACCCGTACAAGAAGCCTTGGGTCACGCTCAAAGGCCTCTGGGTAAACTGCACCGCCTTTCCCTCGCAGTCCAATGGTCGTGCGTATTCAGGCTACTTCCACAGCTCGAGCGACATGCTCAATCGCATCTGGTACGCCGGCGCATACACTCTCCAGCTCTCGACTATCGACCCTCGAGAAGGATCGGCCATCATCGACTACAACCGCGACTGGGACCATAACGAGTCGCCGACAGGTTCTTGGTACTCCAACTTCACAATCGCAAACGGCACGGCCGTCACGACTGATGGCGCAAAGCGTGATCGCGTTGTATGGCCCGGCGACATGTTCATTGCGGTGCCTGGTATTGCCGTCAGCACATATGACATGGTAGCCGTCCGCAATGCCCTCAACGTACTGTTCGACCATCAGTACGCAGACGGATCGTTGCCATGGGCCGGTCCACCGTTGGGCCTTCACGGCGAGTTCAGTGATACATATCACCTACACACTCTGCTGGGCGCCTACAACTACGTCAAGTACTCTGGCGACCTGGACTGGCTAGCAGAACGCTGGCCGGACTACGTCAAGGCTCTCAACGTCAGCATCGACAAGGTCGACCACACCGGCCTCCTCCATGTCACCAGCGCCGCAGACTGGCTGCGCCCGGGAATAACGGGCCACAACCTAGAAGCCAGCGCGATCCTCAGCGCCGTCTTGGAAAAGAGCATCAGACTAGCAGAGTGGCTTCACGACGATAGCCCCGCGGCGCGCCCGCGAGGGGTCTGGTCGGGCGTGCGCCGCGCTCTCAATGCCGGCATCCAGCAACTCTACTGCGGGGATACCGGTCTCTACTCGGACAACATTGGTCGACGCGGCTGTCGCGGCCCCGAGCACACTGAACCCCAAGACGGCAACAGCTGGGCTCTCATCTCTGGTGCTACACCGCGTTCCCGACGTGCCGGTGTGTCGGAGAAGCTACGATCCCGCTGGGGTAAATACGGCGCGCCAGCAGTCGAATTCCCCAACGTCATCTCGCCCTTTGTCTCCTCCTTTGAGCTCCTCGCCCACGCTGCGGCCGAGGAGCACGACTCCGCCGTCGAGCTGATGCTCCTCGAGTGGTCCTACCTCCTTGACGGGCCAGGCTTCACAAACAGTACACTGGCTGAGGGGTTCATGGTCGACGGCGGCTTGCAGTACCCAGCCTACAGGTCCGCAGCCCGTAACTCCCACTGTCACGGCTGGTCCTCGGGCCCCACGAGCGCCCTCACCTCGGAGATTTTGGGGATCCAACTTCTCGCCCCTGCTGGAGCAGAGTGGACTGTTCGCCCGCACTTGACAAAGTGGCTCAGCTTCGCGAGGGGAGGGTTCGCGACGGCCAAGGGCGTTTTCGAAGTCAAGCTTACCCGTGTTGTCACATCGACCTCGTCCGCGGCAACGAACCAGCAGAAGCGGCGGAGGGGCCAGATCGTTGAGATTTCCGCCCCGGGGTTCACCAGCGGGACGTTCGAGTGGGGTTCTTCCTCACTCAAGGTTGACGTGGAAGGCGGCAAGACGATGGCCTGGATCGCGTGGGAAGACGACGGTTCTGGCGTCGTCGTGGAGCAGCTTGACGTGGCGCTGGGCAGGATCGAGGCATCTAGTGAGGAGGAGTGGCACCGCCAGAGCTTCATATATCGCGATGATGTCCGGCTGGTCTTTGATGAGTCGTGGACGCCGCCGCAGATGGTCGAGAGGAAGGCCGGGGTGGTTGACCGGGATGCGCTGGAAGCTAACTACGTCAAGCCCCTGCGTGATATGTAGTGAGATGTCGTGAGATGATTATTCATGCGAAAGGAAAGCATGATGTACAAGTACGACTGTCTTTGAGGGAGATCCCTCTGTCTGTATCATGTTGGACTTGATGGGTGCGGTTGTCAAGAAGGACGAACTTAATGTGTGTATGAAACTGGGAAATCGGCAAGGTCACTGGCGTTTCTGTACAGTATCTGTGGCTTTTTCGATGCCGATAGGTTTGAGTATTCGGTACCTAACTTTGAAATACCTCTTACGGAATGAACGATGCAGATGCGAGCATGCTCTGCTTCTGTGTCCTAAGAAAACAAAAAAGGACAAAGATCCAACCCAAACTCCAGTCCACCTCAGTGAGTGTGAAATTTCCCCCTTTATCCGCCCGTCTAAATCCAATTTGCTGTCCAACGCTTTGAAAATTATCCCAACCTCAGATTATTATCCCCACGCTCTTGTTACATTTTGATAAGGAATGGAGGGGTATCGATAGTGCTTTTCGACTCTTTGGTGAGAGACGTCCCGAAACCCGGTAAACACGGCCGCGAACAACAAGATGGTACAATGATGAGTTTTCCCACTTAGTAGAGCAGCTCGCCGCTGTCCACCATACGAGAGAACTTATCATCAGGGTCGTCAAACTGGTACTCCTCGCCGCGAACGACGCGATCGACCTCCTCCCTGACAAACGGGAACACGTCCTTCCACGCGTTGCGACCCATCCAGCAGTCAAGGTGTCCGTACCCCGGAACGACGCGACGGCGGTACTGGAGCCCGCCCTGGCCGTCTCCGCCGTGCGAGCCAAAGGTATCGCACAGGATCTCGTACGTGCGCTCCGTCGCCTCGGGCGTGAGCACGGCGTTATCCCGGCCGACGAAGAGCATGACGGGAACGCCCCGGAGGCGACGAATGTTCTCCGTCGTCGTGAGCGGGCGGAAGAGCGGGCCGTTTGTCATGACGTGGCCCTCGAAGCCTTGCTTCATCAGCAGCTGGAGCTGCGTCATGTTGACGCCGCCAAAGAAGCGGTCGATTTGGCGGTGCGTCGCCTCGTTGAGGTTGTTGTGGTTCCAGCAGCGGCCGAAGACGAGGGTGCAGCGGTGGCAGCTTGCGTTGTTGCAGATTTCCTTGCGCTCTTCCGGGTACAGCCTCAGGGCCTCGTTGAGGGCGCGCTGGAGGAAGCTGTCGTCCTTTGCCGTGCTGCAGGAGAACCAGTTGCCGAGGACCATCTTGTAGAGCTTGTCCATGGGGACGGGGCCGATCATGACTTTGGCCATGTTGAGGGGCGCCCAGATGGGGTTCATGAAGACCTGGCTGCCGGTGATGCCGTGGACCCAGTTGGAGGGGATGGTGCCGTCCAGGAGACCCGTGGAGAAGGCGACGCTGCCCATGCAGTGGGCGATGCAGTAGACCTTGTTCTCCTTGGAGTTGCCGTCGGCGTACTTTTCGCGGATGTACTCGAGGCAGGCCTGCAGGTCCAGGCGGGCGTCGTAGGTCGTCCAGTTGTTCTGGGCGACCATGAGCTGGCCGATGCGGTGGACAGCGATGAAGACGCGGTAGCCGGCGCGGGTGAAGTAGTTGACCGCGTTGTACTTGATCGTGGGCAGGGCGTAGATCTGATGATCGACTGCGGCACCGGGGATCATGAAGAGGTTCTTGGTCTCAATGTTAGGGTTGGTCGGCTCCCACATGTGCATGCGCGTCTTGACGCCGTCCCGTGCGACGATGACGAAGGATGCCTTGGGGGGAGTGTCGTTGACGTAACCGTTGTAGGTGACGCTGGGATACTGGAGGGGAGTGAAGGGCGCCAGGAAGAGGGAGAGCGACTTGCGAGTGAAGTAGGTGAGGAAGCTCGCCGCGCTGTAGGCCTTCTTGATAAGACTGCTCCCCGTGGGGGTCATGGTCATGATCTGAGAGACAAAGTCGGCGAGTTGGATGTGCATGATGCCCTTGGCAACGACCTTTCCGCGGCGCCACGGCTCGTCGCAATCGTGAACGGCCTCCAGGTCGCGACTGTGCTCGGTGATGGTGACATAAAGGGTGCTCGTGGCCTTCCAGAACTGCCAAGGGGCCAGGGCAACAGATGAATCGACGACCTTGTATCCGTGGAAGTGGTACTTCTCGCCGTGTATGCCTCGAAGGTCAAAATCGTACGTCATATTGCGAGTTCCCGGTGCCTTCTGGTCCAGGATGAAGAGGTTGAAGTCACCTCTCTGGACCATGAAAGGAGAGCCGCGAAGAGAGGGGCAGACAAAGGTACCCGTCAGCATGGCAGAGTGGTCGGGCTCCTTGATCATGGACTTCGTGTTGAAGGCCTGCACACTGAGGAAGAATCTGGCGCTCTCGCAAAGGCTCTTGGCCGCCCGGTATGCCAGCTCATAAGTGGCCTGCTTGTCGGTCACCAGCCCATCGTCACGGTGGACGAAACCAGACATGACTTCGGTGAAGCCGAATCCTCCAGCCTTGGACTGGTCGGCATGGCGGATGAGTGAGCTGGCCTCGTCAATCCTCTTAATCTCGACCTCAGTCTCTGCCGTTTCATTTGATTCTTTTGGCGCAAACTGAGGCTCCCCAAAGAGGTCCAAGATGCCGTTCTTGTTGGGGTGGATCTTGAGGTCTCTCCTATAGATGTAAGCGTCGACGGAGCGCTCGGCCAGGGCTGTAATTGTGGCAAAGGGATTGACACCAATGGCACCGGGAATGACGGAGGCGTCGGTAACAATGAATCCAGGATGGGTCTCGTCGTCATCTCCGGCGAATACCTCACCAACATCGTTGGTGACACCGGAAGCGCCAGTATCATCGCGGGCCATGCAAGCTCCACTGTGAGTTTTGTTAGAGTAGTTTATGAGAGATTCGAGGTCAAACTTACCCGATGGGATGAACTGTTACTTGCTGGCCTCCCATCAAGGCATGGAAAGGGTTGTTAACAAAAGTTCCGCCCATAGCCTGCGTGGCCTTGGCCAGCAAGTCGTTGAGTTTGCGGACGTGATCGCTGCGGCCAACCCCAAGGAACTCGAGAACTGGCTTGTCGTCCTTGAGGGTAAGCATGGCCTGGCTGCTGTCATGGGACATGACCAGGTAGACCTGAGTGTTATCCATGGATCCGCCCTGGCGATACGCGCCGAACAGATGGCTCGAGTACCGAGCGAACGCGGAGCGGACCTTCTCCTGGAACGGCTCTCCAGTGGCTTCGATGCTACCAGGCATCATCTCCAGAAGGGTCTGGAGAAACGGTGTCAAAGAACGAGGGATCGCTCCCTCTTGGATGACATATCCGTCGAGAGGGTTCTCATGTCCTTCGCGATCATCAATGACGGAGTTGATGGTAGGCCCAATGGGGTTATATGGGTTCGGGAAGGGCTTTCCGATCGCGTTCGCCTCCTCGTCCATATTATATCTGATGACTGTCAGTCGCATGTTCCCCTTAGCAGCAAGTTCCAAACATACCCAAAGGCCAGCATATCGCCATTTCCGCTCATGTTTTCGCCGACACGGGGACTCAGGGGCAACCCCATCTCCTTGCTACGGAGGAGGATCTCAGTGCTACCGATAGCACCGGCACCAAGGAAGACGCACTCCTTGGCATGCACCCACATCAAGTCTCCGTGGAGATTGGCCTTGAAGTGACCACGATTCCGTCCGTGCCAGGCAAAGAAAATGAGGTAGCCGCCAATACGCGGGTCGGCCTTCTTGATGAAACGAACTTCGCTCTCGCAGAACATTTCTGCACCCCAGTTCCAGGCATCGGCCAAGTAAGTCACCAGTGTGGTCGTCTTGGAGCCATCATTGACACCAGTGCAATCCTGGCCGGTCAAGGCTGAAGGGGACATCTCCACACCAGTACTGTTAGGACCATTGCGGAATCTGGTGGTTTGAGGGACCATCTTGAACTTGTCGGACATGCCAAGAGCGACGGCCTGCTTCTTGAAGAGGTTGACTTTGGGAAGTTCGGGCCAGTCATCTGGGTATTGGGTGGGCTCGAGGACATCCCGAGCTCTTTGGTAAACTGAACGATTAGGTGTCAGTGATGTATACAAAGGTTTACAAAATGTTCATAAGGCGAATGACTTACACTTCTCCAGACACTTTGGGTTCTCCCTGATGGACTTGGGCCAGATGGGCATAGACAATGTGGCCTCGTTCGCTTCAAGGAAGACATTGGCGTTCATCAGACTCGTGCCACCCAGGCCTTTCATTGATTAGTAATATGTTTCCATTGTATTTGGGATATAAGAGATTACCATTGCCAACAATAGCATTCAGCCCCTTTCCGAAGATCAAGTGGTACATGCCAGTCGGGTCACCCCTTTCAACGGTTGTGCTGGGGAGCCAACCAGGGGCAAACTCGCCGGAAACGTGAACCTCGTCAAAGGCATCGAGGACTCCAGTAGGATATTCACCAGGCCACTTCTCCTGGCCTCGCTCCAGTACACATACAGACTGGCGCTTGCCGTTGGCATCTTGGCAACGGGCGAGGCGGGATGCGGCGACCGCACCACCGTACCCTGAACCAATGACAACGACATCATAGCTGCTGCGCATCAGCTCGACCGGCTTGGATATGCGAGGGTATTGCCTGCGAGCATCGTCGGCATATGTGCGGATGTTGGCGTAACTCCTGGATCTAGGGGCGTTGTCTTCTTCGTGGATTCCGAACGTTGGTATCCTGTGGGATTTGCTGTATCTGATGCCATTGGATGGAGGTTCCTCTTGATAAGATTTTGAAGACGCGGTCTGTGGGCGTGAGTCTGTAGAGGCAGGCGAGAAGCCGGTATATCTGGGAGTCGAGCCGTTGTGGCCGTTGTGACCATTGGTACCGTTGCTGTCCAAGTGGTATCCATTGGCCTTGGACACATTGATATGGCTGGGGCCGGACTCGGTGCCGTTCTTGAGGCTCTCTGTAGTAGCCATTGGAGCCATATGTGTGGCGCTTCTGGCGCTAGGAAAACCAAGCGTGGCTAATTTCAGGGTATACAATACTCAAAAGCAAAGTTGATGAGCAGATGTGATAGTCTTGAGAGAGGCTTTGCTGATTAGGATAATGCTGCCAAGATCCCGGGTTGATGTGGTTGGTGAGTGATTATGGACTGAGGATGAGAGAAATTCACAAGACTCTATATAGCAACAAGATAGAGAAGTAGATACACGCTTCAAGGCTGAGAAGGACGAATGCGGATGACGAGTGCAGAATGAAGGGCGGAAGAGAGAAATGGGCTTCACGGAGAAGATGTAAGAATGCTTCGTTGGGGGATCCACGGCGGGCCAAGCAGAGGGAGATGCGCCGCTACGAACTATTCCTAGTCAGAAATCCCACACTAGCATATGTAGATACCTAAACAGAGAACCCACCCCAGTCAGACCAGGAGGGAACACCACCGTGGATGACCGGGGTCCTGGGAACATCCTTGCCGAAAAGGCACATGGGGATACTAGGTCGCTAGGTGCATTGGGTGCGCTACGAACGAACGAGCTCGTCAAGTCGGCAAGGCCCAGTGCCGGATCCGTCATCGCATGCAAGTGTGGAGGACATGCTGCGCGAGAATCAGAAGAGATGACCGTTGATCTCGAGCCGAAGCCAAACCAACACGAGCAACATGAGAGAATGCATTGGCAGCATGTGGTCTACGGTAACTAGACACTGAACTCGAGATTAGCAAAATGAGGCAAGCTTGGGCTAGCATAGTTTGATAGCTCTGCTATCTTGTGTCTCGGGCGCAGAGCACGAATCCGAATTCATTCATTCTTGAACTTAAGTTGGAGCGAGCCGACCTAATGAGGCTGGCTGGAAGCCGGGGCTTGAGACTCAAAGCCGGGCCCGGGTTTATCGGGCTCCTGAGAGGAAACGGGGCAGACAATGAGGGCAAGCAACATAGAAGACCGTCGTCTCGGCACGAGCTGAGGTCCTGAAGCCGGGGAGAAGAAGACGGGGGGGGGGGGGAGCCATGTTTCTCGAGGTGTGAGTGGGCGGTCGCGCCGGCGCAATAGAATGCAGAGCTGCAGATGTGCAGAAGGCGTTGCCGAAAATAAGAGTAGCGTCGTGTGGATAGTAATCGGAGTAGGATTGTACTGCGTAAAAGTAGGAGGGCTGATGGAGAGTCGGGCTGTGACAATCATTTGTTAGTGTGCAGCAACTATTGCAGGAGATCCGAGACGGCATGAGTCTATTGGCCGGACCGAGTCTTTCATGACCAGAAAAGAAAGAAGCTGCCTCTTGATGTACATTGTCACGATTGTATGGGGTGGTGCCATTGGTGCCGTTGAAGGGTTGGATTGGGCGAGCTGAATGCTACGAGCAGTACTCCGTACAGAGAGTAGGGCACCTACCTCGGTGGACGAGAGGAGAAATGGAAGTGAGAGCAACATACGTATACGCACTCTAAAAAAGAAAACCTCGCTACCTACCTAGTAAGGTAAGCTAGCGGAAAAATGGATACTGAGTGGCCGGTAAAGACATGTCTCTTGGGTCGTCGCTCTTTGCGTGTGCGCAAAGAGGCCAATGAAACTGGTCGAAAGTTGTCTCCCGTTCGGCTTTAGCCAGTCAGCCGTTCCCAGTGGGGAGGACTCGAAGGAATACGTACCGTGTCGTAGATTTCTCCACCCGACGGAGTGGTTGCCCGTTTGGACTTTGAGTGAGGCCTTTGCACCCTTGCCCCGCTTGTCTTCAACTGGCAGCCACTCCAGAGCTCAGCCGAAAGGAACTTGCACGTGGTACGTGCGTCAAGTATCTTTTTTTTTTCTTCCCATTTTCCCAGACCAGTCTTCCCGAACAATCAGTGATTGCCTAAAGCATCCTGGGGTCAATGATGAATTCAGTAACGGGGAAATGCCACCATGAATTGGACTTTACCCTTGATTGACCCCAGACAGCCACAATCGACACCGAAGCCCCGGTCACAGAAAACTTCAGACCCCTTCCAAACGAGACAGCCGCAACCGTTAAAGAGGAATTGAGCTGCAAAGCCCGCTCGTGCAGCATCAAGACATACAGACATCAATGGACTATTAGACCCAAGTAAGCCAGGTGCTGTCAATTGGACCAGTGCAAGTCTGAATTGAAGCAAAATCGGCTTCCGTGCTGCCCCCCACATGGAAGCTGAGACAATCGAGTGGTGGACTTGGCCAGCCTGGTCTTAGTCCGTCCATTGAGCTATGAGATAACCATTGAAAGAGGAACCTGCCAGAGTCTTGTGCGACAGGATCACCTTACGACTATACCGATGTGTTGGTGCAAAGTGAATTCGACATGATAGGGGCCGTGACCTCGGCTGGACATCATCCACGATTGGGCAAGGATTTTCATGCTACCCAGCCTTGGCCTTGATATAGACGAGGTGTTGTCCTCTTTTTTCTTATTCTGCAGAAGCTGCAGAAGCTAGCTACATCAGAATTTGATGCTGGGTGATGACGATTTATCCATAGAAGCGCATGCGCCGCAGCGAGGCATTACATGAGGCGAGGCACAAGAACAAGCGAGACTTACATTGAATATATGCAACGTTTTCTCAGCATAGTCAATAGAAAAGGTGGCCAAGTTCATTCTGATGTCCATTGGATTGAAGACGTAAAACAATGTTTGATACTCAACATGCGCCGGCCATTGATATGCGCGAATGATATTGGCATGCGGTTAGAGATGATAGAACGATAGGTAGTGAACCGGGTTCCGATATCAATTTGGACTGGCCGGAATTGCGGACTCTGCGTCAAATGAGTGACGAAGTCCGAGGCTCCTGATGCCACAATCGCTGCCCACATGTCTCGTCTGACTGTGTTCTAATCCATGATCAATGTCACGAATGGCCCCTGGCAACTAACTGCGTAATTTGGTAGCCCGTAAGCTCGCACCAACAACGCGGGCCTGCGGCAAGGGCCCGTAGTGGGTCCTGGTCCGGCCCCCCTGCAGGAGGGTGGTCGCTGCGCCATCCGCTACTGCCCCGCTAATGCCATCCCGACTTGGCGGCCCCCACTTATAGCCCATCGGTGCCTTCCGAGTCTCATCAGATGTACATCATGACCGACCAATCTTTCCAATCAGAGTGCCCCCGACATCCCAAGGCAACCGTCAGGCTGAACTGTGCCTCTTTCATCTTACATCCAGCTTTGCGGTAGAGTTGCATCATTCGTCTCGGTCATCTCCAGCCCCGTATCGCTGCGTGCCTCGTCTGCCTCGCTATTGGCAGATCGACAAAACATCAACGGTCAGCAACGTGCGATGAAACCTATGCCAGTGCCGAGTCGACCATCATCATGCAATATCATTTGACAGTCCACGAATCAATCTTTCAAGGACTGTGTAGGGCTGATTTCACTGCCCACGAGGATGCAGACTTATTAGGTACATCAGACGGCCGCTGCTGCAGGGGTCAACCCATCAGCGTCTGGCCAATGCGCCGTAACGACTTACAACGACGTCGGTGGCCTCGCCACTCACCCAGTCGTGCGCCGCCTCGACTCGATTGCATGATGCAAGGTCGACCAGCAGGAACGAGTGCTTGAGCGACGCATATCCAGTACGGCGAATTGTCGAACTCCCTCTCTTCTCTGCTACTGCTGTCGTACGCCTCATAGTCACAGGACGCGAGATGTGCTGGAGATGATACGTTACTATGCACCTCGTCCAGAGACACATATCCTTACGTCCGTTAGGAACGCCTTCTTCAACAAATCCACCACTGGAAACACGCGGTATTTATAAAATGACGTTAAATAAAACATCATCGACATGTCGTGCTGCGCGGGATCTTGTCCGTGGTCGAATCAGCATTATCGTCGAATCGTTTCACAACATGTGAAATCCCCGGAAACTTCTCTTTCCAGCAGTCACACTATCCCTATCTGGGACACATTGGGGAAACACAATGGACAACAACGATAACTGCTGGCGCTTCTGGATTTCTGTTTGGCCAACGTCAGCTCGGCGATGCGGGCCTGGCGCATGCAGCCCCATCCCTCGCCTTGCCAGTGACACCCACATCAGCTAGGGTCGGCGGAGGCATTCTATATCATGTCCAACATTGGACGAGACGAGCCGTCGAGTAGGTACACGTCGAAATCGAGTCCGTGAGCCACAATCGACGTCGATTCACCCGTCGTTGCACTGCCACATCCACGTGGGCAGATGCTTCGTAGCTAGCAACGTTATCCCGGCCCTCTCGATATTGATCTAGCGACAGGCAGAACGCGAATTCGGACCGTCTTCCTCTCGTTCAGCACTATGTTCAACTCTCCAAGCATGTCATCTAGCTGCAGTCCTTACGGCAGACGGCGGAAAGATGCCGCTACGCATCTACTCAAAAGACCCTCAGACGTGCCTGGTATCCGAGGGCAACCTATCAGAGTGTACTGATATCGCTAATGTAGGGTCTCGCAAGGTGATTATCTTTGAGTGAGTTACTTCACTGGGCTCTTTGAGATGGTAGAAATATCAACGGCAGACAAGCCGGCTCCATGCCGCAGTTGGAAGTGGCTTCAGAGTGTCAGCACTCGTTTCAGTATCTATTCTCGTCAGCACCTTCTCTTCACACCCATTCAGACTCGCGCCACTCCTTCCGAAGTGGCGCTTCTGAAGGAATCGGCTTATTCCAATCCTTCAGTCGGCACTTGGAAAGACGGCGGTTGAACGTGACAGTCCGTTGAGATCTCTGCTTACACTTCATCGGCGACCAGTCATCATTCAAAGAGTAAAGAGGTTTGCTTATCAAAAAAAAAAAAGTAATTGGTATTGATTCAACTCAGGTATCCCTGCCGCCAACGCCAGCTCCGAAACACAAATAGACGTTACACCAAATTTCAAGGTCATCACTACGTCTGCCCATCGTCCTTAGACGTGGTTGCCGCCACTAACACTAACTTTTCGTGTCCCTTCCGAATTGCCGGTTGAGAGCGCTTAGTTCCACCAGTCACCCTGGTCGTGCATGGCACGGGCAACCTTGACGAAGCCGGCAATGTTGCTACCAGCGACCAAGCTGGGAAGCTCAGTCTCACCACCCTTGACGTACTCCTTGGCGGTGTTGAGGCCGTTGAGGAAGGCAGCGGTCATGATGTCCTTGAGCTTCTGGTCAACCTCCTCGCGGGTCCAGCTCAGGCGCTGGCTGTTCTGGGCCATCTCGAGGCCAGAGACGGCGACACCACCGCAGTTGGCAGCCTTTCCGGGAGCGTACCAGATGGCCTCGGCGTTCTTCTCCTTGCGGTGAGCCTCGAAGACATCGATGGCCTCCTGGGTGCAGCCCATGTTGGAGCCCTCGGCGATGGCAATGCAGCCGGCGGCAATGAGAGCCTCGGCCTCCTCCTTGGAGACCTCGTTCTGGGTCGCGGAAGGCAGAGCAATGTCGACCTTGCCAACGTGGGTCCAGGGGCGGGCACCCTTGATGTACATGAAGGAGCCCTTGTGGTCGAACTCGGTGAGAGACTTGCGCTGGACCTTCAGGTCGGCAATGTTCTCAATCTGCTCGGGGGTGAAGGCAGCGTCACCCTCGGCGACGAGGCAGCCCTGGGAGTCGGACAGGGAGACAACGGTGGCACCGAGCTCGATGCACTTGAGAGCAGCGTACTGGGCAACATTGCCGGAACCAGAGATGGCAACACGCTTGCCAGCGAAGGTGCCCTTGTTGGCGTACTTGAGCATCTGCTCGACGTAGTAGACAACACCGTATCCAGTGGCCTCGGGACGGATCAAGCTACCACCCCAGGTAAGGCCCTTTCCGGTGAGGACACCCTCGAACTTGTTGCGCTCCTGGCGGTAGGTACCGAACAACCAGCCGATCTCGCGGCCAGAGACACCAATGTCACCAGCGGGGACGTCGGTGTCGGCGCCAATGTGCTTGCTGAGCTGGCGCATGAAGGAGACGCAGAAGCGACGGATCTCGTTGTCGCTCTTGCCCTTGGGGTCGAAGTCGGAACCACCCTTGCCACCACCCATGTTGAGGCCGGTCAAGGCATTCTTGAAGATCTGCTCGAATCCGAGGAACTTGAGGACGGACAGGTTGACGGTAGGGTGGAATCTCAGACCTCCCTTGTAGGGACCGAGGGCTGAGTTGAACTGGACGCGGTATCCGCGGTTGACCTGGAGCTTGCCCTTGTCATCCTCCCAGACGACGCGGAACTGGATGACGCGCTCGGGGATGGAGACGACCTCGAGGGCGGTTCTGTACTCGGGGTTCTGGGTGAAGAGGGAGGAGTTCTCGAGGGTGCTGACAAGCTCTATAGATGGTTTGTTAGTCTTGTTGGATGCGATGAGTAAGTATGGTTGTTGATGGTTACATACCGTTGTAAGCCTGCTGGAACTCGGGCTCGGTAGGAAGGTTCGACATTTTGACGGTCTAAAGGTATGTTATATATGTGGTGCTTCAAGGTTGTGTCTCTGAAAGATGAGTTCCTAGTTCGTCGTTGGCAGAGAGAGAAGCTGATGAAGTTCCAAGTCCAGAAGATGGGGGGAAGGAGGTGCGCCCGCAAGATTATATACAAATCTGGGAACCCCGTCGATCGAAACGAGAGCCAAATCGAATCGAGTAAGAGCTCACAGGCTGGCAACGGCGAAGCGTCTCGTTGCCCCATGTTCACCCCAGTCATCTACTCCCCCAAGCTTCGGGAGCCCTTTGGTGGTGAAGGCAGATGCAGGCGGGGGACCAGGGACTAGCGTGAGAGCAAGACATGTCCGGGTCGGCCGTGGGGGGCGTGGACGGTGGAAAGAGAGAGAGAGAGAGAGATAGGACTCCTCCCCTCGTCTCTCTTCTCACGTCTCAAGCGCGTTCATTCGGCGCTAGACCGACAATTTGTCGTGTCTCATAGCTAACAGAAAGAGAAAAAAAGGGCTCGGGTGAAACCCACGCGGGTTGACGTAAAAAAGACTCAGCGAGTTCTAGGCTGGATAGAATGCCGGGACCGGGCCCGGGTTTCCACGCTATTGTGGCCGGCGGGGGTTTCTCGAGGGTCCCTTTCATGCAGCTCTCTGATTTGCTGGCGAGTTGTCAATTATTCACTACCATCACAAAGAGACAAGAGGTGTTTGCGCTGCCGCGCGAGCGGTGCGATCCCGGAGGCGGCGAGCCGAGCTGCGCTGCCGCCCAGGTTGTAACCAGGTATTGCTGGGGCGGAAACCAGGAGTCCGCAATGGAATTGCAGGGGCTCGCTCAGGGATGGCCCGGACGCTCCATTGTTCGGGAGAGGGAACAAGACATGCCTGAAGCCCTTGGAATGCGCTCCATGAAGCCCATCGACAAGCCCGACGCGCGTGTCCCAAACAGGCCAGAACCTGGGGGACGTCATCCAACAATTGCAGCCCATGCCGCAAGATCCCCCCACCGCTGGCACATGCTTTCGCATGCACGGATTCTGTTCTGTGTCTCGCCCTTCTTTCTTGTCTGTCACTGGGAAAAATAAAGGGTACCCCGTCAAATGTTGCTGTCATTGGAAATGTCCTTGCATGTTGTGGCGTGCCACTTGGACAAGAGCCGAACTGTAGTCCTATCATTCGTCTCTTATTGGTTGGGCCAGGTTGTCGAGATACAGCGAGGTAAGGTAGATCAAATCTTCAAGTTTTTTTTCTTCTTACCAAGTTCTTCTAGCTCTGCAGCGCTAGAAGCCCAAACTGCCACTCGTCCGCAGTCTCTCTCTCTCTCTCCAAATCGTCGATGCTGGTGCGGCAGCGCAGATGGCGGCACTAAGAGAATTATCTGGGCAAGGGTGATGGCTGTCACTTTTTGGCCCATGACGCAGCGGCGTCCATGTCTTGCATAGACCCATGGGGTGTGGTTTTTTTTGCTCCATTATGCCACTTGAAGGTCAAGATAAGGAAAATACGGAGTAGAGGGACGAGGATTTGCGACACATGTGAATTGATCATTGCAACTCGTAAAGGTGTGGTGAGTGGTTGGGGTGAGTGAGTGGTGGCCAGAAGCAGGCTAGCATGAACGGGAGATAGATTGGCAGAAAGAGAGAAAAAAAAGTGTCCGAAGACCGGCGCGTCGAGTCGCAGTTCCGCGATCGGAAGTGAAAGTGCAAGCTGTAAGTAAGTAAGGTAGGTAGGTAGGTAGGTATGTGTGTGCGACCAAGTGATTGAACGAAGACGGCTGGGCTGCCGCTGGTGACAGACTGAGCTGACATGCGAAAATGCTCAGCCGATTTGGGTCGGAAAGTGCGACGAAACCCGATACAATGCGCTGCCTGCTCCCTATCCTCGCAGACCTTACCCCGCCGACGTCGCCCCTCCTTCACACCTTGAGTCCTTGACCAGGGGGCACGTTGGGTTGCGGTTTCTGCCCCTCGCTTCTGAACTCCCGATTCCCGAACCCGCTGTCGCGTGTTTTTTTTTCTTTCTCTTTTCTTTCCTTTAGTCTGATCCCGTTAGTCCCCTGAAGACCACCTAGGCAGGGGTTTCTTTCCTCCGGTGGTTCTCCGGGGCCATCTTTGCCGCCGTTGCTGGAGTGCTGGAGAAAAAAAGGAGGGGTTAAATCTGTATCCGTACGATGGGAAGTGCGGTGGCCCAAAAAAATCTCATCTCGGAATTGAGTTGTTTAGTTCGCAGCCTTACGGTGTGTTGGTATCGCTTGAACTGTGTTGACTTAGAACGGGAATGGGAATGCTAAAGTCTCATTCGACGGTGCGCGCATTCAAAGTCAACAACCACCACCACCGCAAACAGTTCAGGGACTTGTAGCTCCGCTATTTACACACGAATGCACACAGAGACAGAGGGTTGCTCGGCACGTACGTAATAAGTTGGCTCTGTGAATAATGCAAACCACGGTATTGGCTACCAAGATCAACTGGTAGTTGCAAAATTACAAGCAAGCTGCATCTTTACTAGAAAGCTTAACGTATTGTGCATGTTTATCTATATTGATAGATTTCATAGGAATCAGTATCACGAACCTTGGAAGCTGCACCTCACACACACCTCTGCAGTCTGAAGTGTCTAGACAAGGGCGGAGCACAGTCAAAACTCCTCGGCGTAACACAGTAAACCAAGAGATTGATAACCTTAGTTCCAGAAAGATGATGAAGAGAAAGAAAGGAAAAAAAAGTCCCGCCTGGAGAATCCCAGCTTCAGCCTAAACCCCGATCCGAGCGGATGACCGACCGACTGCGGCGACAACATCTACGGAGTAATACAGACCAGGAGTGAGGAGTCTAGGACGACGTCTTTCCATCTGCCCATCTCATCTCATCTCATCTCATCTCCCCCCTCGCGAAGGCTCCCATCCAGTCCCGCCGCCGCCGCCACCAGAAGCGCCGATCCAGCAGCTGGGTAAGGCGGCCTGAACCTGGCCAGACAGTGAAGTGACACGCACCAAATGGCCAAAAGAGGGCGACGGCTGCCCTCACGTCCGCCCTTCCGCTGCCGGCGGCGCCCGGGGCGACCGACCCCCTCCAACGAACCACAGCGCTCGCCCAGCGGTGCCCAATTCTCTTTTACTCAATTCACACACACAACCAGAACTCTCTCACTCGTTCATTTCATTCCTGCAACCTCCGATTCCCACAACGGAACTTGTCCATGCATCGAGAAGTCGGAGACACTTTTTTTTTCTGTGGAATAATGCCGCAATCTAAGCTCATCTCTCTTGCGTTCTCCTAGTATTATGGCCATATTGGGACTACATACAGGACCACTCCCTCCCGATTTTTTCCGACGTATGGAGGATGCTTCTCCGTCTTTGAATATCATGTTGCATGTTGTTTCTTCCCCATACCCTTAGCCTGCTCTGTTGGATCCGTTCCCTGCCTCCTTGAACGGAATTCGAAATCCTCTTGGAATCCATATGGAAACCAATGAAAGAAAGAAAAAAGAAGTCGAACAAACGCCGTGAAACGCCTACCCCGAAACAACATATCTGCCTGCATAAACCTGCTGTAGACCTGTAGACCTCCACACCACCGCTGCATCTACAGCTGCAGAATGTCTCCAAGGTCGGCTCATGGGAAAAGAAAAGCTTAGCGTCGTGAAAGCCCCCCTCATACCCCCCATATTCTAGGTATCCCACTTCTTGGCACGCCTTCTACCAGATTGCCGCCTGGTCAAAGTCGAACCTCTTCAGCTCCTTCCCAGCATCTTCCAAGTCCTTCTTCGCTTTCATACGCATGTAGAAGATGGGGCAGTCCTTGCTACTGCAAATCACTTCGCAGTGCATGCTGCCCTGACACCGCTGGCACTGCGTCCAGAGCCGGCCGAACCGCACCTCGAGATCGGACGTCTTGTCCAGTGTCTTCTTGTACAGTTCGCCGACCCGAGGCGCGCAATCCGAGCACACTGCCCCCGCGCTCTCCTCTTTGCCTCTCAGTGGCTTCTTGCATCCCATGCATGTTTGCGTCTTCTTTGCAAACTTCATCAGGCCTCCGACGGCCGGCGCCGATACTGCAATTGTGCGTGTATGCGCTCCCGTGAGCAGCGAGTTCGCCTTCGTCTCGCCCAGGATGGGCTCGAAGATTCTGCCCAAGGGCTTTGCAAGCTGATTATCAAGATAGTATCGGGTGTCGATCGGTACGTTGTTCTCAAGGACGTAAATGGGATCCTCAGACTTCTCGTAGTTCTTTGCGCCTGCCGCACCCTTGATCATCACGTAGGCAACTCGATCACCTAGACCTGGTGCCGAGCCTGCATCGCGCTTCTTCATTCTCTGAGCGAGCTCGACGTGAGCCTGTTTGGCTGCATAGTCATCTTTGGTGAGCGCCTTCGTAATGACCAACTTCGACATATCAACCTTGTTTTGCAACAAGTCCGCAATCGTATCTTTGACGTAGCTAGGGCAAAAAGGGTCAGTGGATGTGGCTCAGCAATCAGACGATGCAAACTTACTCTTGCGCTCCTTGGACATCTTGGTCGATAAGCATCATTCGAAGCACCTTTTCAATGACGGTTTGCACAAGCAAGCAGTTGTCTCGTCGAACTGTCTCGATACCCTTCGTATCCATCTTGTCGTACTTGTTGGGATTCGTCCAGTACAGGCCGGCGTATCGCTTCTTGTTGATGAGTAGGTACGGGTAGTATACCTTTTCGAACTCCAACTTGATCGGCTTGACGAACTTGGAAGAGACGAAATTGGCAGCTTCCTCGCCAAATTTCATCGCCTCGGGAAGGTCTTTGGTGCCAAACTTGACCATGACAGAGTCAGTATCACCATAAATGACCTGAGCGTCATGGGTGTATCCGTTGGCAATGCAGTATTTTTTCTCCACCTCCTCCTTGGTCTTCATAATCATCTGTCGGCCAAAAGCTGTTGTGCTACTGGCGATTTCAAGACAAGGCAACTTGCCAGTTGTCGCACCCGTGAGTCCGTACACAGAGTTGGCACTGATCTTCAAAGCCAGTTGTCGACCGTTCAGCACTGCTTTCTTGAAAGGATCTGTTTCTCCAGCCAGTTCACGCTTGGCCTGCTTTCTTGCAGTCAAAAGTTCCTCGAGAATCTGAGCAAGGAGACCCTTGCGTTTATTGGCAGTCACAAAGGTGTCGCCGTTCGGGGTGACAATGTAGTCCTCGTCCTTCTTCAGATCGAACTTTTCAATGGCCTTCTTGTTGACCAGTGTCGTATAGCAAAGGTTGTGGGCCTGCATGATACTCGGGTACAGGGAAGCGAAATCGAGGGTTGCAATAGGCACGTCATAATATCCTCGGGTCGGCTCGATGACCGTGGCACCTTCGTACTGCTCGTCACTACCCTCGGATCTCATGTTGGGGATGACCAGCTTCTGTTCGAGGGCTTTTCGAAAAAGCTGACTGATGAATTTTACTTGCTGCCCTCTGGAAAGCAGAAAGTTGAAAGGAATTCCTGTGACTCTTGCCATCTCAGTGTAGTTCTCGAGACAAGACAGCTTGTCCATGAGACGCTGCGGGAGGTATGCGTCCTTCAAGCAGTACAGGGCGAGACGTCGGCGTGATTCAGGGGTACCGTTGAACAGTTCCGTGATCATGGTGTAGTGGACATCTTCCTTTTGCTCTCCTAAGAATTGGGAGCATACAGAGTTGAGCGTGTAACTTCGAAGGTGGTGGTCGCGTTGGACGAGCTGCAGTAAATCGAGTTGCAAACGTCCGTTGGTATTGGTGGCCTTGCTGTCGCGGTTGCCCATCTGCTTACTGGAAAAGTTGGTCTCCTTGGCCCTGGAAGGGATGCTTGGAAGTCGAGACCAGTACTCGAATCCTCCAACCTTCAATGTCTTCGCTCTGTCGAGGAGGTAAGGGAAATCAAAGTTGGCAATGTTGTATCCGATGATGATGTCTGGGTCGACTTTGATGAGGAACTTCTGCCACTCGCTGAGCATCTTCTCCTCCTTTTGGAACTCGAGAATCTGTGTGGCGACGATAGGACTGGTTGTATCCAAGCAGAAGACATTCCGCACGAAGGGCTTCTTTTCTCCGTATCTTGTGACAACGTTCGCAATCTGGATGACGGGGTCGTGTGTCGCCTCGGGGAAGATGCCCTTACGTCCAGCGCACTCGATATCGAACGACATGATTCTTAAAGGAGCCATCTTGGACCACTC